TATTATATATCATCATCAATATATTGTATTATCAAAAATTGTTATCACTTTTTATTTAAGTATAATCACTTTTTACTTTTCTTATCCATATGTAGTCACTGGCTCTATAAAATGTCAGGTTATACGTTAGCAACAGGAGTTATTATTATTGTGATAAAGTCTATATCTTAACTAATGATTAAAGCTGCAGATTAACCTAACAGCGAGTATTATTGTTCGAAGACACATTGATATACTGTGATTTCTAAGATCTATTGTAATATTTCAACTAATCTAACTCGGACATAAACTGAGTCTCTCAAGTTTCAATATGCTATATCCAACTTTTATAGACCAGATAAGATTGAAAACTAGATATTGTTACTGAACTTATGACTAAAAAAAGAAAATACTAAATACATAAAAATTTAGATGCATGCTAGAACATATTTGATCTAATAACTTCTATTGAGTTATATCATCATGTATATCATGTAATATACTACTTCACATATTCATCTTATAATCAATCCTCAAACACAAAATAATATTTATACTAAGTTCTGTGGTTTCATATGATTTCGCAATAAAAACTTCAATTTTCTTTTGGTGCAAAGGGTGTAAGGGTGCATGAAAATGTATTACGACTGACACAATATTTTATACCTCATGTATCATAGTATTTCCAGCATATATAAATTATTTTCATTTTTACTATTACACGTTACTACTTTTATGGTTCGCATCAGAATTTATGGTGTTTTAAAACCTTAAGAGAAATTAATAATTTTGGCACATAAACGTTATAAATTTCTCAAAATGTTATTACACTGCAGAGCACAGTACACGGTGAAATACTTAAAGTGATAAAATCTTAGACTTTATGAATGTTTATGAAATGCAGAAGTGTTATTTGTTTGATTAAGAATAAAATGAGTTATTTTTGTGGCTTTATTGCAGAAGTTTTGGTTTGGATTTTGGATTTATGTTTAAAGTAAAATTAAAATCTTTTAAAATGTATCCAAGAAATAAACATTTTTGTAAAGATTTTAGAAGTTAAAGACTTTATCTTCTACAATAAGAAAAACGAGTACACGTAAACAGCATTTATTATTTGAATATAGTAAGTAATATCTATAAACGTACCACATTGATTTGCTATTGCCAAACGGTCTTCAAATAAAGTTCGTACGTACTACGTAACGAATACTTAACATAATATAAATGCCAGATTTTAAGTACTTATGAAGTCTTACTTAGAAGCCTAAAACGACTTTATATAGATAACAAGAAAAATACTTTTAAATAACATATATTTTTTGTCCAATTTTTATGTGTACATTTTTGAACTGACTAATTGGTCAATCTTTTGAACTGACTATAGACTACAATCTAAATATAGATGAGAATAAAAAATATTTTTTAAAAATAAAGACTTATTTATATAAATAATATAAATATTTATTGTAGTATTGTTTCGGTACCCGTTGGTCTTCATAAAAAATCTTGTCACCTTTCTCATCCATATGTGAATAGTAGGAATTCTAAATTACAGAAATTGATGTAGGTGAGGTATCTTTTGTTTGCTTCCAATAATCAATTCTGAATACATTCTACTGAATTATTGATGTTTGTTTTAGATTAGCGGTTAGCTAAAACCTTTCCCGTCCTTAACACTGGCGTCATCCACACTTAAAGTTCTGTCTTTTTCTTGCAGGATCTTATCCTCTGTCTTTTGATGTCTAGCAGGAAGGTCGGCATTTCCGAGATTATATTCGGCTCAAGTGAAGAGAATAGTAGACATTTATTATAGCTTTATTCATTTTCGTTCATTTTTTGATAAACATTTTATACGAATAATCTCATGGCTTTCTTTCTGCATTAACACTTTTGATTCTATATTTCTATAAGTCGCTATTAATGGTCGTGTGAGTTTCCCACATATGAGCAACTATATTAACTCCATACGAAATAAATTTTTTTTATATATTTTATATATTTTTTGTATATGATTATGAATACTAATATGAATAATTCAAATGAATAATTAAAAAAATTTCAGTATAAAAGCTTAGACAGCTAGATAGATGGGCTGGATTCATCTTGTATAATTAAGGAAGAATATCTATAGAATTTCCAGTCTTTATTTTATTGAATTGTAAGCATTTCGACAAAGTTAATACAATCTTTTCACATTTATGTGTGAAGGGTATGAAAATATGTAATTAGTACTTTCCAGACCAACATTAGTTGGTTTATCGATTTATGTAGTTGGTTTCAATTTAACAAAAATTGAAATAGTTTTATTCTACTAATTTAATAAAATGGAAAAAATTTTAATTTTTTTTTTAAATGCTATTAACATGGTAAATAACTGGAGAGCATTTTCTGTTTTTAATTAAAATTAGCAATTAACCCTTTTGACATTTTCACAAAATTAGAAAAACCTAAACTCAAACATACAAAAAATTTTCACAGAGCGAACGTAATTATACGTTATAATTAAAAACAAACCTGAAAGTTTTTTTTTTTTTTGCAGTACCTCAAATACTTTTTTGGTTTATTTGTGAAATGCTTATAAATGATCCATTTCCAGAAACCAATTGTATACAAATTACGGAGCATTTTCATTTTGCATAATTGCGCCATATGCGACCACACACCGCAGAAACCATATGGTCCAAACACTAGGCCACATTTAATAGGCAGGCAGGCTGTGAATGCTTTAGATTCTCATATATAAAAAGGATATTTTATTTGCCAAGAACAAAAAATTAAAAAAAATAAAAAAAAGAAGAAATTTTAACTTACTAGAATTGTGCATATACGTTTGATATTATGGAAAATTGTCTAAGAGCTATAAATTATAAAATTTTTAATAATAAAAATTACAACTTTCACAAATATGAAAACTTGGTCCAGTGTGTGCAAATTTTTTAGGCAGGCACACACATGACAGAACTAAAAGCTCTACTTAATGAATTTAGTGTGCTCTCCGAATATGTGCCAGGGTACTTCCTGTGAGCTACTCTGAATGTTAGTCGATGTCTGTATGTACGTAATTTTGTAGGAAAATATAAGAATAAATTTTGGAAATGCATTAAATCTCATATTGTTAGCAATTAGTGCTGAAATGTATTTACTACTGACAAAAAGACGCACATATGTGCTGCACTTGGTAAAAAGTGCTGGATGAGCATTGACAAAAGGATTTTACTCGTTATTAAGAAAACATTGAAACTTTTATAATATTTTAGCTTATGAGTTGAAATAAAATTTTTAGATAATCTTAAATCTAGCTTCCTCTGGCATTTTCAATTTCAAAGTACTCTAATTTAATTAGTTTTGTATTTGTTTTCAACATAATTGAAGTAAAGAAGTAAATTTTTTATAGTTTTAAGCAAATTGCAATTTATAAAATAATTTGCATAGTAACTTTTAATGCATAACTCTTATTTAAAAAAAATATATATTTCTTTCTATAGGTATACTATCTTAACTCTGATTAACTGTGCTCACTCCATTTACTCACTTTATTTGCAGTGATTTAGTGCTATGCAAGACTAACTAATTCCACATGAGCAAATAAATTGTTTTGAATTTCATTCATTTTCGTAAGCCTTTTGTGCATTTGTTACTGCTTTGGCCAATTCGATACTTAGTAGCGATTAAATGCAATACTCAACACATAATAGCTGATAAAAAATCAGTAGCTACTTTTAGGCGCACATAGATAATTAATGTCGGTCGGAAATGTTCCTTTTCGCATTTTTAACTTACTTTTCACAACTTTAAATGGATAACGTATGTGTGTATGTGTGTTTGTGTGTTTGTGCGTGTTTCTTAAAACCTGAAACACTAACATAGCTTGCATTACAATGAGTGTGTCCAAATGTGTAGAGCCTATTTGGACTCACCCACCAAATAATTGCGTTCTGCATACTCATGCCCGCATGTACGGCTTATTTTCACCGACAGCCAGGAAATTGCATTCACTTGAATAATGGCAAATGTCGAAATGTTTTCAGCTTTGAAATGTTGAAATTTATGGTACTCTCGTGACAATAGTTTGACCTCCCAGCACTTTTCACTCAGATATTGGTTGGGTGGTTGATGTAATAATGGACAAAAGAGATTTCACATCAGTGAAGATAAATTGGGTTTTGTAACGTAAAGTACACAATGATTAATACTGAAAATAGTTCAGAGGTTTTTCACATTTTGTGCTTCTTTTTCCCATTTTAAGTTTAAATTGCATTAATCGAAAAGTTAAATAAGAAAACAGAACAGAGAGGAAAAAAACAATATCACTTTTAGCATAGAAACGATAAGGTAATGAATCAATTTGTAAATATTGAATAATGAAAAAAGATTTTATATCGGTTGAAATTCCCATTCAACAAAGTAAAAGCATTTAAAACAAATGAAAGTGTATAAAATGTTTTAAACTATCAAATAAATATGAGAAATACAAAATATTATTTGATGCATAATCCATAAAATCCATAAGAGTTTTATGTGTTCGGGTTTGTTTAACAAAATTTATTTGACTACTTATTTTACTACTCTTCCAGTTATGTTATTTTATGAAAATAATTGAGATTTGTGTTAGTTTTTGTAAAACAATTATTTGCTTTGTATACCACCAGCAATTATACTAAAATTCACTCATTTGTATTTCCCCCTAAATTTGAAATATGTTACTCATACGCACCGTAACACTTCTGGTGTGAAATTTATATATCTATTTAATTATTAGATTTGTATGGTAGTTATTTATTTTATTATTTCAAACGTATTTTTATTAAGTTTACGTTTTACTAAAACTTTGGAAAATAATCTGCAAACACTATATTGATACTTAAGTAGGCTAACAAAATAATGCTATAGTATATCTTTTTATGAGCTATAGTAAATTTGAAATTTAAACAAAATAGACACAGGTTATGTAAATAAGCGATTTTTCGGTGGAACATTTTATGGCATTAGTGATGAATAATTATTTTGTGCATGTAACCACAATGGGAACGTTCCAGGAACTGCATGGTGAAGTAAATGAACCGAATAGTTTTGTTTTTTGTTGTTTGTTATTGAGAACTGCAGAATTTAAAATTGAAATAAAATAGACCAGTTGAGCAAATAAGCAAAATGGTTTTTATTTAGCTGAATATTGTATAGCTTTAATGATAAAAAATTTGTTTGTGAATGTAACCACAACTAGGAATTGCATGCTGAAGCTTCAATTTACCATAAATTTTTTTAGAAAATTATGTTATGAATACCACTTGAAATATTAGTTTCCAAATACATAACCACTATTAGCTTGTTCACCTAAGTTAATATGGTCAAAGAGATCCACAAACAGTTTAGTGATATCATATTATACAATCTTTAAATGTAGGTTAAATATCGATTTCTAAATATAATATAATATTGTCATTAAGAAATTTTAACCACTCGACAGTCAATTACTTTTACTTGTCCATATAGACTAACACTTCAATTAACTCCACAAAAAGTAATTAAGTGAAGCAAACTTACAGATTTCAATATCACGACAAAGGGTTATTTCTGGAAATAATGTTGTCTTAAAAAAAAACTTTAACAACTTAGTAATTTGGTTAGCCAGTACTTCCTTCTTAAACATATAAGTTTTCGGATGACTTTTTATCGGATGTAATTGCTGTCATTATAAATATCAAATAATATTAAACGGTAATTAAAATTGACGAACAAGTTATCGAATATATAGAAATTGAGAAAACTTTGCTGCTCATTATCTGACAAGTTGGTTTGCAACGTCATTGCCGGAAGTTCTTATAGTGTGTACATGCTTTAGCCTATTTGTTGACCACAATATATTTTATAATTTTCTATTCCCAAGCAAAACTGCAAAGGTTTATACAACAGAAATATGATATCTTGTTTATTACTTTAGAACGTTTACCGTCTTGCACGAGGCACTAGGCTGAGCTTGCAAGTCTCGGTATGTGCACACTATCGTCCAAGTAAGCTTAAGAATTCATAAATACAAAATAAATCAGTATGGAAAAGAAACACATTTAGAATGGGCTTTAATTTATAAATCGGGTAATAGTTTTTGTCAAGAATATTTAGCTTTGGTAAAAAACGTTTTCTTACCAGTCTTAGTGTCACATAATGAGAATCGAGTTCCTTTATGGATACTTGTCTACCAATTAAGATGGCTATTCTGTAGTTTTGTAGTTACGCTTAAGATTGAAATTCACTCAGCTGTCTATCGCATAAATTTTTGCGATAGGGCTGCATACATATTCAGGTAGGTTAGTATTTATCTAAGAATAAGTATAAATACTGTATAATTGTAATGAATGAACTTAGATTCAACTAAGAATTTATGTTACCACCTATATAACTAGTTGCAACCTAGCTATATTCACCTTGTTGCGAACACTAAAGGCGCCTCGCTGCGCTAAGAGGTTCCTTGTTTTACAAAGGAACCCATTTTTTTTAAATTTAGAAGAATTCAAATAGCAAAGAAAAGACAATAACAAAAATTTACTTACTTTATTGAAATTTGGTTGACCATAGTTTTCGGTAAAAATATTTAACTTTAAATATTATAAAGAGGTTTTTCGAAAAGTAGTGAATTACAACAACAAAAATTCATTTTATATTATTTTAATTAATTGAATTTTTGGCTGACCATTAGTGGTTTTGGAAATAATTCTTGTATTTAATTTTTCTAGTGTTATTATGTTTTAAGATTACAAATACCAGAAATCGAAGTCGTGCCCTGCCAAATTTGAAGCTCATAGTCAGCGCTCCTTATCCAACTGACCCAAAGCTATACTTGACTTTTGTGTTCGCACATTTTTCTGAAATTTTGTTACTTTGCTGTGATAGATTTATTAACAAATTCACTTTTTGTGTTTATATTAGAACGAAATCATAAATTAGTTGTTGAATAATTGAATTAATTAATATATATTTTTATTTTTAATTGTTAGATTTCAATACTATTCTGTTTGTAGAGGCATTATTTGTTGTTTAAAAATTATATTTTATTTTGTTTTATTTTATTTTTTATTTTATTTTATTTAACTTAATTTTATTTTATTTAACTTAATTTTATTCTATTTTATTTCATTTTATTTTTTTTCATTTTATTTAATTTTATTTTATTTTATTTTATTTTATTTTATTTTATTTTATTTTATTTTATTTTATTTTATTTATTTTATTATATTTTTAAATTATTTCTTTCTATTTTTTATCAAATTATTGTTAAGTTTATTTTACTATTTTTTTCGTGTTTTCTTTCACATTTTTATTGTTGAAAAATTTGCAAAACTACATATCAAAGCAGAAAGTTTGCACGTAAAATGTCAAATAAAACGCATCACATATCGTTTTATTTACTTTCAAAACTTATTTCTAAGTTTATATAAATCGCTTCAATGGCATTTTGACATGCTCATTTTAAACGAATTTAGTTTTCATTAAATACATAAAAGTTATATGATCACTAAATGTTGTATAAAACTCATTTGACAGCAAAAACTTAAAAACTTTTTGTGCAAATTCTCAATGCAAACATATGAACCCAAGGAAAATATGAGGAAAATAAATTCTATGAACTTTGCTCGAATCTGATCGTGTACCGATTTTTGCACTGCACGAGGCCGCCACAATGTGAACCTGTCAGTGTCAAAATGTTCGAAAGACCATATTTCATAGCACGTACGAAAATGCATAAGTAAGCCAACATACCAACACATGAGCATATGAGCACATCACATTTCACAGCTACACTGCAGCGAACACAAGAATACAAAAATACAAGAACACCGCACAATCATGTAGAGACTGACAAAAAATTCGTAGCATGAGAGAAAATAACTTGTCACTTATGCAGCTATGCTACAATATTGTTGTGATGCAGCGCTGGTTTGTGCTCTAGTCTGTGCTGCTTTATGCTGTTGTCAGTGTATGCATATACGTTGACTTGTTGGCTGTTTATGTGCGAATTTATGAATGCGAATATTTGTACAGACACACACACAAACTTAATCATATACTCGTTCATAAACGCACGTGTATGAATGAAATCGTGCGTACGAAACAAGCCCCAAAGACAAAAATATTGTGTAAATATTTCTCTCATGCAATAATAAACGCAACAATTTTTATGCAAGAAATTATAATTCAAAAATTTGAAATGTATTTACAAAAGCATAGTCTGCGGTCTGAGTGCAAATTGCAATAGGAAAATGCGGCAAAGTGGTGCAAAAACTATTTTGCATATTTGTACAAAATTTTGTGCACGCTTTTGCTGTAGCGTGAAAGTTGCTCGCTACATTGTATGCGTGAAATGATAGAGTTACAATTTCAAGTGATAATAGTGTCATATTAATACTGTTGCAGTTTTGTATGCAAACAGATAGCACAAGTGCACATAAATCGTGCACATACATTTTGCAATTAAAATACGTTAAAACCGCCTCGTGTACCCAAAGTGGCGGTGGCGGCAATGGCGGCGATGGTTGTGTATTTAAGCGAAGCAGCAAAGCGTTTTTGGCACCTGGTGTGGAGGCGAACATTTTTACTTAAGCTACCTAGAAAATTGACCTCGTTTGTACTCCATGTACTCCATGCACTGTATGTACTGTATGTGCTATAGATAGAGAAATGCATTTCCATATATGTGAGTTCACTTGTATCTTCGCATGCATTTTAAACGGCATTTGTACGTTATAAATGTTGAGTGCGTAGTTGATTGCATGCGTTGATATAAAGACAAGTGACACTAATTGAGGTCGCTGCAAATTGTGTTCGCCGTAAAGCATCAGGCACTGTCATATGAATAATTTGAACTCGGCTTAATACAAGAATGTTTTTAAATTTTAATATATTAAATTTTAAAACTGTGTCATGTGCACTTTGTTTTCGCGAAAAGTGGTTTACTTTATTTTATAAACATATATTTTAATTGCATACTATGAACAATAATTCAAAAATCATTAATAAATTGAAATAAACTACAAATTAATTTTATAAATATATATTTTTTAAATTTAATAAGAAATTTGCAACATATATTGGATTATTAAAAGGCAACTTTATTTTATAAACATATATTTTAAACATTAATAAATTGAAATGAACTACAAATTAATTTGTATATGCAATATATATTAATAAAATATATATTGCTTAAAAAAGCAATATTTGGTTTAATCAAATTTTATTTTTATGAAAATTTAAAAATAATTTTTATTTATTTAACAATGAATAAACATATAACTCAGGGGGAAAGGTATTATCTTAAATACAACACATTTAAAACAAACTACAAAAAATTATAAAACTGAATTAAAGCATTGAAAAGCACCTAAAGTATAGTAAAAGCAACTTAAGCTTATATTGCCAATTTTAAAATCAAGCATTATTTACTTAAATGAATTTTAATTAATATATAATAACATAAATTAATTTACGCAATATAAAAATTAATAAATGCGCACAAATTGCTTTTCTGAACTTACATAAAACAGTAATTAATTGTTCGAAAAATCATTTTTAATTGCTTTAATTCATTATATAATCAACTACATAAATAACTTCATTAATTTAAATGCTTTACAAATTTCTATATAAGTTTTTTTTATTTCTCTGTTCGACTTTAATTGTTGCCCCTAACAGTATGCAACAAATATTTTCCGCTGTATTTAATCGAAATTACTGCACTTAATTCTGTTATCAGGTTGATATCGCTCGCTTTATTACATTATTAAAAATTTAATACAATTGATATTCGCATAACCTGCAACATTAAAAATAATAATAATAAATGTGTGATTTATGTATATTGTACTGCAGTAAATATAAATAATTAAAAATGTGTCAATTTTTTTTTATCAATTTTTTGTAGTGGTTCTATGTCACAAAAGGAGCATTCATTTTTTATTAACATCATTCTATTCTGTATAATTATTTAAAATAATTATACCAAATAAAGTTTGATTTAAATATTTTATAACATGTTTTTTTCAAATGTAAATGCGCAAATGCATTTGTAACAATTTTACATATTTGTCCACTAATATAAAAAAATTATAAAATAAGTGATATAAACTTATTTAAGTAATGTTTAACACTTCGCAATAAGTGAGGGAATGTGGTTTATTATTATTTAAGTTTAAATCGGATTATATACGTACTTTTATTAAATATAAAAGCAATCACATTTGAATATTAAATTATTAATAGAAAATTAAATTCTTTTTTAATGCTTTTATAAATCATATAAGTTGTTCGAATCTTTTTATTTTAAATAAGATTATGGGAATATATGTATATGTGGGTTTACATCAGGGCTTCGAATTAAAATTTTTTTGTGTTTTGACAAAAATATCGGATTTTTCAGTTTTCAATTTGGTTCCGGTTCAAACCCCTGAATTTTTTCCGTTCTTGTTTTCGTTCCAGTTCAAAACAAACAAATATATCGATTCGGTTCCGGCTTTAACTCCGACAACAATATCGGTTTCCTCGGTTTTCGGTTCGGTTTCGATTCCTGATTACTGGAATGCGATTTCAGTCAATAGTTTTTAATAGTTTGATAACTGGGATTTTCTTAACTCATTTCTTAGAAGTAGTTTTAAATCTCACTGTGGGTTTCGAAGCTTTCAATCTACAAAAAAAAATATCAAATAAAATATAATTATTTCTTACTCAAATAATGTGTAAACCATATGTTATAGATAACAAAGCTGTCTCTAAGATAAATAATTCAGATGATTCAGTATGCTGACTAGTTTTCGCAACTGACAAAAAATCTGTTTAGACTTTTTGGCTTTAATTTCATAAAATTGGTAGACTTTGGTTTCTAACAACTCAACTGTGAAACAACTATCTTGTCACAGGTTAAGCACTTCTTATCACAACATGTCTATTAGAAATGGCATTCAATGTGTTGGTGTATTTTATAACTTCTGTTCTGCCTTTGTAGATGATTCAGTAATTTTTTTTTAATTAAAATACTTTCCAGATACTTTTTTTTGTACAACATCATTCCACTCAAGATTGCAAAATGGCGCTAAAGTCTTTATTTTGCAAGGCACCCTGCCTATTTCTTGCCTTGATAGACCAGAACTGATCACAAAATGGCGTGGTTCCTTCGTCTAATTTCATTAAAAAGCTATTGATCGTTGTTTAGCATAACCAACCATAAGCAAACAGTGTGACACTACGACAGTCAGGCACTACGCTGATTATCAATTTATATATCGTTCTTCACAAACACAGAAATAAAAAAATTTTGCTTGAGCCTTGATTGGACATTTGCATATTAGATATTTATGCTTAAAATTCTTCTTTTATTTATAAATTTTAATAAGTTATTGATCTTATTTTTTTGACTAAGTTAATTGTCAATTTATACATCTTTCTTCAGAGACGCAGAATAAAAAATTTTGCTTGAGCCTTAGTTAGACATTTGGCTATTAGATATTTATACTCGAAATTCTCCCTTTTTCTATAAATTTTATTAATTTTTAATAATTTTTCATTGATCTTATTTTAATAAGATTAAAAAAAATAAATTCATGAATTAAAAAAAATCTAAAACAATATAAAATGAAAATTATATATTACCATATCTTTCTTTTTAGCTCACACAAGTTCAATATTTTTACATATTTATCCTTAAGGTACTTTAAATTAGTTTACAATCATGAAGTGAACAAAATACTGTCTGCTCGCATAAGCATAATTAAATAAATTAATTAAAAGTATAGGATTTTCTTAATTCTCATATTTTAATCCATTAAAATCTATTAATTGCATTTTGTGCGTAATAGTTAAGTAAGTCAATAATACTAAAAAGGCTCTTAGCAAAAGGATTTGTGTTATAGGAAATTTAATAGCATTTGAATGTGGATATTGAATGTAGAATTTTATACAACTTAAAATAGATACAATTATTATCTAAGCTGTAGAATAATAGTGTATTAAAACTTAAATTAAATGAATTATATTATTTAAGGAAACAGCTTGTGAAACACAATAAACTGGCATTATAAATCCTTGTTTGCAATTAAATTGCATTAAATTTAAGAGCTAATTTTATGCCGAAATAGAAATTAACTGAAGTACAAATTGGTGCCTTAGAGGGCATTTCAAATAATTTCGAATATTTAATATAATCAAATGGCAAATCAAAACATACGTAAAATTTGTTGCTCATACGCACCGTGCGCCCAATGCAGGGACCGAGTGCAGTAGAGTGCAGTTGCAACCTGTGCCAGCGTTAGGCAATTTTAGCATGTGATTTAATTATTCGTACGTTATGTTGCATAGTGCACAATGCACATTGGTAATGATTGTTGTTGGTAGAATCAAAGCAAAGCATTAGAATTTTAATTAATTTTGGTATTTGAAAGGATTTTCATATATTTTGTGGCTATTACAGTACTTTATATTATAAGAGTATTAACTTTTTAATAAAAAGATAAAAAAAATATATACTTTATGAGAAAGTGCAGTAATGTTGAAAATATATTTCTATTTGGATATATAGATAATATTTAATATATATATATTTTAGTATTTTCTATTTTATTTTCTATTTTAATATAATTCTTATTGTATATACTTTATGAGAAACTGCAATAATGTTTTAAAATATATTTCTATTTTAATATATATATAATAATGTATATATATATATTATATATATATATTAATGTATACATATTTTAATATATTCTATTTTATTTTCTATTTAATATATTTCTTTGATATATACTTTATGAGAAACTGCAATAATGTTTAAAATATATTTCTATTTTATTTTTATTATTTGTAGATAAATAAAAATTCACAAACCACATCAAAATCAGGAGCAGGCGAACGCAAAAGGTGGATACATGATCCGACAAGTAAGTTAACTAACTTTATTGTAATTATACATATTTTTTGTTACTTATAAGCATTAAAGCATCTGTTTAAATAATGTCCACACATTTAACGTTGTTTGAAGATAATAATTTATACTGCTGCTATAAATTCTAAGCGCATCAATAAAACCACAGGGCATATAGATACTTGTACTGCAGCAATGATGGTCTACGTGCGCTGCCCATTGATAATCGTATTGGTGTTTGCTATGTGGTTTATTGAGTCATAACCTTATTTTATGTGCTGCTCAATTGAATGCCAAAATTTATAGTATATTATAAATAAATAACAAGCTCTTTAATGCACTCTACAAATAACAGCAATATCTGTTATTCCAATTTATATCGTGGCACACATTTCACAACTTCCAATTTCCCACTAAACCAAAAATTGTCTCATCAAACAGGTGACCTGTGCCGGCCGTTAAATTGCAAAAAGCGTGAAATTTGTTTATTGGAGGATGAGTACAGCGCAGTGTGCGTGTCGAAAAAAGAATTGCACAAGAATCGGTGAGTACCTTGAACCAGCCCATAAGATAACAAAAATATTTAAATTTTCTATAATATTCTGAAATTTTTCTGAAAATTTTTTACATACTTTTAAACACCGTACACATGTGTTTAATTAAATTTGTTTTAAAATATCCTTTGTGTAATGATACGCAGCGATGAGATAATTTCGAAAGCCAAATATTTAGAGGAAGAAGCCAAGCGACGTGTCAATCAGGACGATAACGACGATGAAGATAAGAGTTTAAGCTCTGACGAGGATTCGAAAGAGGATGATGTTTTCTATGAGAGTAACAATGCTGACAAAGACGACGATGAGGATGAGGAGTAAGTGTGCACCATAACAAATTTTCACACAATTCATTTAACATATTTGAGTGACATTGCTTTCCCAAACAGTGAGGAAAAGTGAAAAACATTTTTTTTTGTTTTTTTTTGTTAAAGGATTAAAAGTTAAAGCAGGTCACTTGCGGCATTAAGCACGGTTGAATGCATGCAAAAGAGGCGACTGATATCTACCCTCACTTTTCCATGTATTTTCATGTGTGTGTGCTAAAAATTGCTGCAGTGTGCATGTTTCTTTTTTTAACGAAAAATTGTTTTATTGTGCATAAAACAATGAATTTCTAAAATAATTCAGCTTTTTTTTCGGAATTGCCAACATGAATTCTTGGCCCATTTATTTTTTATGCGCCAACGTAGTGACGCCATACTAAGTTGTGCCATAATCAACAATGTAACCATCAGTCATGCCTGGGAAATAGTAAAGTCCTTTAAGCGATATACTCGCTTACACGCAAACATATCTACTTATATCTGCTGACTTATTTGTACGTTATCGTTTGACCTAAACCTAAATTGTGACCTTACATGCGAACATTTTTCTTATACTTTGGAAAAAATATCGAGTTTAAAAATAAAAAATAAAATAAACTTAAATAATGTTGTATGCGGTTTTGTGTAAAAATTTTTAAAATTCTTTAAAAGAATTTCATGCTATACATTCTCTGCCCTTTTAGTAGCGAAATATATTAGAAGTTTTTATTTTTATTATAAAAAAAATGTTATTGTATATAATATTTGAAACAGCAACTTAAATTTAATAGAAGTTCGTAGTAGTAGTAGTAGAGTAGTATTATCAAAGATTTAATTCATTATTTAAATATACTCGTTTTTCTTCAAAAAGTCATTTTATTCATATGTATTCTTCTATACGTAGCCCCTCAAATGCATAAGAGTTTATTTCAATGGAAAATCAATTACGATATTAAAATATAAGGATTTCATACGTATTTTATGTTTATGACAGCAAAATAATAGATATTAGATGCTTTTGATTATTTTGCAAATGTTCACTTTTTGTGCGAGATGGCATATAAAAGCAATAATATTTGATTTATGACTATAATAAATATAGTAGAAAGAGTAAAGAAAATTATTCAATTTTTAAAAATTTATGGAATTCAAGTTTGCAAATAAAATGGTGTGGAATATAAAAAATCTACATATATATGGTATGTACACATACAAAATATTTAAAAATCTTATTCAGTTTTTAATATATTAAAATATAAGAATATATAAGAATGTTAAAGAATTTAATTAATTAATGTGGTTAATCTCTTTATCCTAAATTTATTTAAATTATTTAAAATGATTACAGAGCAAAGTAGAGAGCCCTGAAATTATTTATGAAAATTGACAGGCTTACTTATCAATACCGCGTTATCGAATCTCAGAATGGTTACAGGTTCCTCGGGGAGTTACTCAGATTGCTTAAATCTGAGATTGTCAATCATTGCTTAAACTGATGAATATAAGTTGTAATTTAACGTCAAATTTACCAGACAAAAGTGACTATTATATTTTAATAGAAACTTATTATATTTCATAAAGAGGTTTTTCGAATCTGATGAAGTGATAAATAATAATCCAGTCAAGAAGTAGAGAGGGGTTATGAAGAAACCTCACAGTTAATAGAGAATAAAAGTGCTCAAGTGCACTGACTCAACCAGCCTCAACATAATAATAATAAATTTCTTAGTGCAATAAATTATAATTCTCATTTAGTTTATAAACCATATATTATATGTAACAATGACAGCTTGTACCATGTTTTGTATTTTCTAATAGTTTTAATATTGTATGTACACCATAAGTTGTGATAAATATTTGAAATACTTGATGTAATGCGGGCAATAATATTGTCTTAATACGCAAGATTAGAGTTTCTTAAAATGTGCTCGGTAATAAAATGTCCGAAGCTTATCGAAGGTGTTGGAACTTTAATTTCTTTTATTTGCACATTAGCAAATTGATAAAAAAAAAAATGGGAACGAATTTAAATAAAAGTTTTGTTTATAAGTAGAGGTGTACAATATGGGTACTGGACTTCGTTTCTCCCACCAGAAAAAAAAACTTAATCAAAAGCAGGGTTCGTATTTACTCACTCAAGCTCATGAGCAAGAGCCAATTATTACGTTAGTCTGAAATTGATTCATGAGCATGAGCACTAAATTGGCTTATATCGAAGAGCTACTTATCAGCGTTAGCATTCAATTTGCTCATAGTGAAGAGCTGCTCCTAAGATCTCACGAGTTGAGAGCTCAACGGTTCAGTAAAAAGCGATTTATTTTTGATTAGTAAATTTGCTTTATTTATTTATGTATACGTTACTTGTTATATGAAAATATATAATTTGAAATTGAATATAATGAAACAAGAATAATACATTGTTTTTCGCATTATAAACAAATTGTTTTATTACATTAATGTAAAACTTTAAAATATTTATTTTTTTATTATCAAATTTTTCGAATTGTGCAACGAAAACAACTACAAGAATGCCATATATACCCATATTCTAGCGTGCAGCACCTTCTTGTAACCAGCGCATTAGGTCTTATGAGCACGGTTGCCACTTATGGTACTTTAGTACCAAAATTGGTACTTTTTTTTCCGTTTGGTACTCTGGTACTCTGGATATTGTATTGTTTTATACTTTTTGTACATTTTATATAAATTGTATTTTCTTATAAAAAGACAATAGAAAAATTTTGGAACTTTTTTTTACAGAAATGGTACCTTTTTAAACCAATTTTGGTACAGAAAAAAATTTTCAAGTGGCAACCGTGCTTATGAGTCTCAGCTCCTACTCTTGCTCACATACGTGAGTCAATTTATAACTTAATGGCGGCTCTTGCTCATGAGTGTGAGCTCTGCAATTGGGCTCGCTCGTGAGCGTGAGTCAACGTATGAAAAGAGTTTCTTGTCTGCTCATGAGCTGTGAGCAGAATGATCCAAAAAGAGCCACTCATGGGCATGCAAATACGAACTCTGATAAAAAGTGACAATTCTTAATAGTAACATTTTATATTCTATATAAAATTAAATTTATTAATTTTTAAAAATATATCTTTTTTATATTATTTATTTTCTTTACTTCATTTGATATATATATATATATATACAATACATATTAAAATAGATGGATTAAAATTTAAAATGTTTAATTTGAACTTAAAATTGTGTGATCAATCATGGTCGCAGTGCTCCGCTCCGTTAGGAGCTAGTACCCCATTTATTCCTAACCTAAAATTGTGTGATTCAGTTATATACAAATAGATATTCTTTTATACAAAAGTAAACAAAAGAAACCAATATTATTTGCTCTACTTAGTTTAACTTCCTGTTTGAAATATCTGAACAGATATAGTATATAGTACGAACGCCACTTTAATCAAAACCAATTTCTACATCGCAGAGCAGATAAAAGGAACTCTCGCATCAAATAAAAAGTGAAAATCACATACGAGTGACGTGACGTTGCCCAACACTGCCATTGGATGCTGCCACATAAAACATCGTTTCAAAATAGAATTTTCCGTTTTATTGTTTTCATAAATTTTAACTTTTTTTATTTATATTTCCTTTTTGTTTTTATTTGTAAAATGAACAAAAGATTTTTTAGTTTTAGTCCAATTTTGTGTAAAAATTAACAGAATGATAAAAGAAAAAAAAATTTATAAAAAAGTGAATAAACGAATCCTTATCCAATTTTTTTTTTTTTTTTGATTCTATTCTTTGGACTTTTATTGTTATTTTTTGTGGTATTGTTTTCGGTTAAAGGATTTTTAACAAAACGAACTGAACTAAAGTTTTGTGGGGCACACCTAAATATTTTTATTTCTGGGTAAGAAATGTGATATTGCTGCACAAATATACACAATATTAGTACTGTTCTAATATATATACATATATATATATACACACTATACGGGCATTGTAAAACATTTTGTATCAACTTATTAACTTACCAAAAATAGCAGTTTCGGATCCGCAAAAGTTTGTGTGTCCTTTTTTTTATTAAATTTCTTTCTGTTCGTAGTCAGTCGTCGTCATATTTCAGTCAAGATTATTTAATAAAAACAAACGAATAATTTCGTTTGCAGCAGAACTTTTGACCGGAGTCAGCATTGTTTTCAACATAATTTGATGAATACTTTTATTTATATTAATAAATATTTTTATATATGTATATTTTTTCATTTTTATACCTTTTTGCAGTCTTTATTGTTGCAGCTGTTACCAGCTCTGACGGAGTGCAAACTGAAACTCAATATTCCATATAAACTGTTCTTTGTTATTTGCTGATTGTTATTGTTGCTGTTAACTGTTGACATTGTTAACAGACTGATTTTGTTTTTATTTCGATTTCGATTTTTATGTGATTTCAAAAAATATTTATTTTCATAAAAATGCATATTTTGTGTTAATAAAACAATACTTCACATGTTTTGCTTATACAAAATTTAGCTATTTCAACACAAACGTTTTAAATTTCAATAAAAACAGTTCTAACTCAAACAGAATCTATATGCTTAAGATATAGATTTCAACTCTGGAAATTCTATATTAGCAAAAATTTCTCTATTTTAACGCATTTTATCGCATTTTAACTGCATTTGTGTGAGTTGAGCATTTTCCACATCTGCGATATTATTTTTCATTTTTCATTATGTATGCAAAACTGTTGGAGAATGAAATTTTAATCCTTTTGTCTAATGCATTTTCCTTCATTACTTTTTATCATTACTACAATAAAAATCAACTAAAGATTTCGCTTGTTCCGATGTATAAAATGTGAAAAGTACTTCAGGAGGGATATTAGTGCCATATGTGGAAAATTTATACTTAACAACAATGAGCACCCGAAAAGGATTCATTAAAAGTTTAATTTACAAAGGAATTTTTACACACAAGTGAAAATAATACTTTAAGTTTCGAAAAGGATTCAATTTGAATTTTAAAAATTTACATAAAAAATGTATGAAATAATTTCCGAAAACTTCTCTAATCATACACTTTAGCGAACATTGTTAAAAAAAGAATTAAAATTTCATATATAGTTAATAAGAATAAAAAAATATAACGTATAGAAAGTAGTATTCTGTGGGTAGCTGGATTCATGTGTGATCATCGACTACTTTTTTCGAAACTAATATACTTAAACTAAATTGACCATTTGTAATACCACCCAATCCCAGTAGGACCTTTAAACAAATTTTCGACCTTTGTTATATCATTTTGTTAATATTAAAAATCTTGATTTAGTAACCTCGTTGGATTCACTTTGGCAATTCATGAAATATCTTCCAGAACACAGTAACATTGGAAGGAAACGAAAAGAGGTCTGATGGTTTCATCTTTCGCCTAATCACTGTATACGATTAGGCAGTGTTCTTTATATATGATATCCATTTGTAAGATGAGTCGATTTTTAAGACAGTTATTACATCCAACACCTTTGAAAATTCATTTTATCGCAAAGAAATAAACCTTTTCAAATGAATCTGTTGGCTAAAAATATCGTTCCTCCGTTAATCTATTTCTTTTTGAAATATATTTTTGACTATATATAATAACCACTAATAAAAAACCAATATATTATAATATAATAAAATGTTATAATATAATAAAGTATTATAATATAATATTTGTTATTTATAATATAATATATATTATAATATTAAAGTATTATTTTTTTTTCTGTATGGTTTTTTTTTTAAATAACCATTTTTATTTAATATACAAAATAATTAATTTTATTTTTATTAATTTATTTTTTAAATGTATAATATTATACTTTTTATCGTAAGAATTTGACTAGTATCCACTGTTGCATTTTTAGTGTGTTCCTGAATAAAAATGTTCTTTACGGAAAATGAATTTCAATCAATTATATATACCTTTTGCCATTTTCTGGTAGCTTCATAACTCCATAATATAAAATTTATATAATAATATAGAATTTTTGTGGCTAATGGCCGAAAAAATTGGACAAGTGATTTTCAGCGACTTTTCCGTAGGCAAATTTTTTTCCATTAAGAGTGATTTGAAGAGACAGAGGCAAATAATAGTCAGAGCTATATGGTGCATATGGTTATGATTGATCAAAGATATAACACAGAACTATTTCTTTGTTTACTAAACAGTAATATTTGTTGGCTGACCGAGACCACACACAGACCAGAAACCAGTTGAGAGTCCTTGAAGCCAGTACGTGACAAAACAAATTGCTTAAGATGTGTGTCTTCTTTATGAATTTTGCAAGATAAATCACACTAACCTCAGAGACAAGGTTCAGCAACTCACAACTGATACATCGAGAAAATTCTGTTTGCTATTTCGAGAAAACCGTATAGAGATGCACTAGAACTTTCTTAAAATCTACTCCCTTACATTTTTTGCACTTTTCAATGCTTATAATATTTAGCGTATTTTTATCGAATATATTTTGCACATAATGCCAGTGATTTTACAGATATTTAAAGTACCCGTCTTTCGTCTTTCAGCATGTATTGGTTTATTTGTCGTATTTCGCAAGGGTCTAAGTATTATATATTACTTATATTGGTTAACGCCAATTTTAACAATAATGTCAACTGTATCATTTTCTTTAATACTTTCATGTCCAAAAATCCAATATACACCCAGCTTAAATCCTTGGGTTAAGTTGGTCTATTGCCACCTTGAATTACTGAACACTTTTGAAAGATATTCAGTATGAAGATATACTTTTACAACAATTTGGCTTATAAAATAAAAATGTCCAATAATCCAATATTCACACAGCCCACTTCTATGGGTCAAACTGTCTATTGCCAACTTGGAATTTGGAAGATGCCCATTATGAAGATATTGCTTTTATGGACACTTCACTTAAAACTAAAAAAAAAAGTAATGCATCTATAATTGTTTTTATTTTCTCTTTTATCTTAAGCGAGGCTAACTGTCGCAAATAAATGATCTCTGCATTTTATATATAAATTATTTTCTGCCATTTATATTCCGAAGTATTTTAAGCAAATGAACTTGAAGTCAATGTTGTTGTCATTAGCTTCTTTAAAGGACATAAATTATAATTCTTTTTGATGAATGGTTCTACCTAATATATTTTAAACTTGTTTGCTAATACCTATAATCAATCAATTATTCACAAAATACTATAATATGACACTCTTATATATTTATTTTAACATTTTAATACGACTTAAAAATTTCAATTTTCAAATAAAGAAGCCCAAGCCAATATGGTTGTATTATTACTGTCATTCAAATATGGTGTGAAATTATCTATATGTTTACAGGATTATCTACGCAACAGCACACTATCTAAATACATTATAAATTTATTATGAACAAATGCAAACATATAGGAGGACATAGGAGTAGATAAGTAGGTACGTAGGTACGTAGAATATATAGGATATGTAGGATGTTTGTCTGGCATGTGTGCAAAGGAATAGGCAGAAAATTGAAATGTACTCATGCAAACGATTTTGTTATTAATTTCATATATAAACATAATTTTCCAGTTCACTATCAAAATGCGCATAACCAAATTAAATTTATAATAGAAAATATGAAAATATGAAAATGCAATTTATAGAATAAATAAGTCGAAGTAGATATGTTAATTCATTTTAAAAAGGCATCAAATTTCAAAAGCAAATATTTAATATTTTACGTGCATAATCTGTCACATATACAGATTCTAGCATTCTGCCAAATATATGCACTCCACAGAAGTATCTGTGAGTCATAAATTATTTACTAGGAAATCAACAACAATAGCAACAGCAGTTATCTGCAGCAAAATCATTTAATACCAGCAGCAAATGTTGGTAAGCTGAGACTTTGTGAAAGTTTGTGAGACTTTGGTAGTTATGTATGTAGTTATGTATGGTGTAAGGTGTATGGTGTATGGTGTATGGAATGGCACTCAAATGGAAAAACTGTTATCAGTAGAAATCAAATATCTTTGCACATTTACATAAAAATTAATTTTTCTATTTTGTACTTAATTTTTATTTTATTTTCTTTTAACTTTTGCTCCATGGAACGAACCATTTGCAACTTGCAACCTCACAACCATCACTTTTATTGAATACACTTCATACTGTAACGCTTCACATCGTTAGCAATTGCAAGCCCTGTCCTGTGGCAAAACCGACTTTCTTATGCGGCGCCGACAACAGGACATACTCTTCGTTATGTAGATTGGATTACCATAACTGCATACATGCAACATCTATAAGGATCGCCTGCAAAGGATTCTGTCCATGCAAGGGTAAGTACATAGTGCTGTCAAATTGATGCAAAATTTGTAACTTAAAGATACGCAAAGCTTACTTACATACCTATGTGCACAAATACAAATATACGGATGTCTTTATGTTTGTTGAAGACAATAAAGGAGACTGTGTACATTATACTGGGTTTTGGGTTCTGTTGAAAATTCTGGTGGTATTTGTATTGGGTTATTGTGTCAGTGTTTGCAACCTATTTTATTAAGGGAACCTGAACGTGAGTTGACAGGTTTATTATTTCTTTCATAAATTATATTAAAATTGAAACAAATACAGCAAAAATGTAATTTATGTTATGAATCGAATTATTTTTCCTTATTTCCATTTCTTTAATCTTTTGAGGCAATAAATTGCCTCACAGTTGGTGCTACACAAGGTACAACAGCTACAAAAGTAACTACGAGAACAGCAAAATCAACAGAAACAACAAATTCCACAAATAAGAAATAAAATATCGAAAAATTTTATTGATAAAAGCAAAAAAATGAAAATTGAATTATTTTTATACATTGCAGCAGAAGGAATTGATCCGTCGCTTCTTGGTATCCATTCCAGTCGTCCTTTATTTTACTAGAAAATTCATTTGTATTCGTATTACATGCGACATTTGTACCGCGCGCATCCTCCAATTTTTTTTATGTAAATTCCGAGTATATTTTGCACACTTCGTTGCACTGCATTTGCATTTAATTTAATGCGGCTAAAAAATTTTCCCTTAAGTGCGAAGTAAAGCCAATCAAATTCATAAGATCGCAACTGTTCCACTAAAGCCAAGCATGCCTTAAAGACAGATCTGAGAAAAATATAATAAAATAAAAATTATTGACAAAAAAATACATAAAAAAAATTAAGAAATTAATAAAGGAAAAAAGAAAAAAAGGCTTTTCAGATGAATTTACATAAATCTCAGTTTACTTGATTAGAATATTAAATATATTTATAATAAAAAGATTAAAATTATTAAAAAAAAATTCTTGAAGAAGTGATATTAATAAAAAAAAACGAATTTACATAAATCTCTATTTATTTAAGTGAAAGATTAAAAATTTTAAATAAAAAATAAAATTCCAATTATTAAAAAAAAACATCTTAAAGTAGTTTATAAAGTTAATAAAAATTTTTTAGACGAATTTGCATAAACCTCGTTTGATTTAAGCGGAAGATTAAAAATTTAAAATGAAAATAAACATAAAAAAATAAAAATCGAAAAATATAAAAATAAAATTAAAATTAATTTAAAAAATACATCTTAAATATGTTTATGAAGTTAATAAAAAAAAACTTTTTAGACGAATTTGCATAAACCTCGTTTGATTTAAGTGGAAGATTAAAAATTTAAAATAAAAATAAACATAAAAAAATAAAAATCAAAAAATATAAAAATAAAAAAAATAAAAATAAAATTAAAATTAATTTAAAAAAATACATCTTAAATATATTTATGAAGTTAATAAAAAGAAAGCTTTTTCGACGAATTTATATAAACTTCGTTTAATTTAAGTGGAAGTTTAAAAATTTTAAATAAAAATAAAAAAAATAAAATTAAAATTATTGAAAAAAAAACTATTAAAAAATTGGCAAAGAAATAACTCTTTTCAAACGAATTTTCATAAATCTCGAATATATAAAGTAAAAAATTTGAAATAAAATTATTAAAAAAAAAATATCTAAAAAGCATTATGAAATTAATAAAGAAAAAAAAACTTTTCAAATATAAATCTCAATTTATTTGTTAGAATATTAAATTTACTATTTTATTAAATTTGATTAAATTTTCGATTTACTTAAGTGGAAGATTAAAAGATTGAAAAAAATTCTAAACAATAAGTAAAGAAAAAGTGTTTTCAGACGAATTTTCATAAACCTCGGCTCACTTAATTAGAATATTAAACATTTAAAATAGAAAATTTAAATTAAAATTATCGAAAAAAAAATATGTAAAAAAATATTAAGATATTAAATAAGAAAATAGTCCTTTCAGAAGAATTAACACAAATCTCAGCTCATTTAATAAGAAAATTAAAAACTAAAAATAAACATTAAAATTAGTAAAAAAAAATCAATCAAAAAATTTTTAAAAGTTTAACAAATTGCAAATAATAATAAAAAATTAGAAATTATTAAATAAAAAATATTTTAAAAAATACTAAGAAATTAGTGAATACAAAAGTCTTTTTAGACGAATTTACAGAAATCTCTGCTCACTTAATAAAAAAAATTATATATTAAAAATAAAAAAATACAAATTTTTAAGTGTATTTAAAAGAAATACTATTAGTATCACTTGGTGTTGCTTTTTTTAGTTTTATTCCATAAAGAATTCTATGATTCATTCACATTTTTCTGTGACCTCTCAAACATTACTTCAATCCTTAGCTTATATTTTAATTAAATTGCAACTAAACCAAATAATTAGCTAATTAGTCATGAATCATAGAAATCCCAAAAACTATTACTTTTGCAGCAATTTAATATTTTTCCTACAATATTAATTAAAATTAAAATTGTGTCCCTCCATTTACTATAATTTTTAATTGAAAATGAAATTAATTTACCCATAAATTCAATTTTAGAAAATCATATTAAATATGTTCTATTTCCACTGCATTGTGAAAACAATCCGAGTATAATTAAATTATTGTTCTAAAGACGTTTATTGTTTAGTTAAAAATTTCAAAATTTTCTACTATTTAACTGCAAGTACCCTACGCAGCCCCTTACGTGTACCTCCCCACAACCAATTTAAATGCAAAGCACCGACAAGTTCATTAAAGAATTATGAACACTACTGAAAGGATACATGCAGAACAAGAGTCTGTTCTTTTGCCCCTGAAACTATACTGCATTGCTGTTGTGTATAATAAGTGAACTAAACCAAAATTTCTACACTGACAAAAGCTGCAAAGCTACAAAGCTCCAACCATAGAACACTAACCAGCACCAACAAATAATTTTGAACGTTTTGTGTTCATTTTCCCTTTAATCTATTACTATTACTATTATTATTATTATTATAATGTATCATTGTTGCATTGTTGCATTCAACAATTGAAACAGTTTAATTGTCCTTGTATTGTTTTATATGCTTTTGTTGTTATTTACGTGTATAAAATGTTCTCTTTTGTTTTCTTTTCTGTTGTGTTGTGTTTTATTGTTGCAGAAAATATTGACGGCAAGCGTTTGCAACGTATTAGCGAGCGTCAAAATGCTTTTAATGCCAAATATAAGAAGACCATAGAGCAACAGCAGAAACAATTACAGCAACAACAGCAGCAGCAGCAGCAACAACAACAGCTAATGTACAAGGACAACAATAATATTTTGAGTGATGACACCAACAACAATAACTTTAATGCTATCATGGACGTAAGTAGTAGCTATAATTTGTTTTTTGTTTTTTGTTTTCTTTTTTTTTTTCTTTTATTTTTTTTTTTTGCATGGAAAATCAAGAAGATGCAGAAACTATAAAATGTGTGTGTTGATCGGGAGTACACTGTACAATTGACTGTATCATGCAATGAATACAAAAACACTAACTATAGAACACCCGAAAAACAGTATTTTAAATGTGTACCAGATGTGTTAAGTGTTAAGAATTTAAATAAGACTTATAATTAATTTTTTTTAAATATTATAATATATTCTATTAGTGATATTATTATTTTAATAATATACCGTTACTATTAACGTAACTAACATCACAACGTATCTTCAATATACGTTTTTTACTAAACTATAGCTAATGTTCTTAATATTAAACATAACAGTCTTGATTATATGTATTTTTGAACCACCTAATTGATCAATTGTTTAAAATATACAAACCTTTAATTATTTTTTTAAAAAATGTATTCAATTGTCCCCACTAATTTTGATTAATATAAACCAGACTTTCTTTTATATTGAAATTAAATCCATTATTAGTCTTATTCCTCTCACTTCTTCTTTTGCATACTATTTACCTCTCTTTTTCTATCATACTATCTTTATCTCCCTTTCTTGCTCTCTACCTCTCTCTCTCTCGCTCTATCTCTCTATATATATACATATATATTTCACATCACCATTATCCACGGTTGCCACTTATGGTACTTTAGTACCAAAATTGGTACTTTTTCTTTTTTTTTTTTTCGTTTGGTACTCACATTCAAAAAATGGTACATTTTTGACGACCCAACTTTATTGTGGATATTTCCAATTAATTTTTTTTATAAATGCAACTTTGCAATATTTTATATTTTGTTCATTTATAACACTATAAAAAACACAGAACGAGAAAACAAAAAGGTCCAAAAAAATTTTGGACCTTTTTTTACAGAAATGGTACTTTTTTAAACCAATTTTGGTACAGAAAAAAATTTTCAAGTGGCAACCGTGCCATTATCACTCTTTCTATTTCTATATCCCTCTGTTATTTAATTTTTTTTTATTATCTTTTTAATTCTCTTTAATCTCCTTCTTTTTTACTGCTTCTATGGTACTTTATAAATCTCCCATTTTCTCATTAAACTTATTTCGTTTTACTTTCTATCTATTCTACATCCTAGGTCTTCTTCTTTTTCAGTCAATTTCAGTTAATTACTGCGACTTTCATAAAATACTAAAATGTCTATACTCGTACAATATTTCTTCAAATTCATATATTGTTAAATAAACTAAAAAAAAAAACTATTTTTAAACAAAATAACATACAAGAAAATAAATCCTATATAGTTTAATGTAATGAATTTGTATTTTTCTCTTAATGTTCAATGTTAATTCCTTTGAATAGCATAGCCAACTAAATAGACTTATCCGGTTAGTAACCTTTGATTTTGAATGACTTTAAAAGTCACGCCAAAACTGATCTTCGGATTTCTACTCTTAAGCGCTGGTCCTTTAGATCTTCATTTCCCGAAATTCGAATGGTGACTCTTTCTTGATATCACAAGTTTAGTACAAATTAGTACATTAGTACTAATTACTACTAATTACTACTAATTACTACTAATTAATATTAATTACCATAAGAACACAAGGTTCCTACTCCAACCTAACCTAAGCTAAATCCATTCACTTCAGTCACGCATGCAGTGCAGCTTAGCTGTACTTAATGACTTATAACGGTTTAAACAAATACATAATTGTTTGTCTTTCCAATGCCAGCACCAAAATTGTTAACTAACTGCATAAATTGAATAAAAGAATAAAATAAATATATGACACTTAACAGCACTTTTTAAAAATTTCATAAAAGTGCACGTTGACAGCATTTAAAAAAGAAAAATAATTTTACAAAAACTTTCTGATTGCAGATTCTACCTTTTAAACCATATGTTGAAAAAATATATGATTTGTAGGAATTGGTCATTTTATATTTATTAGATATTTATTAGATATGCTTTTCCAGTGTAACTTTCGATTATTTATTACCCTTTTCGACTACAGCAAATGAGTACCACTAATTAATTACTACGAATCAATCCATAAAAATAGCTTTGATTTTAAATTAGCATTAAGCAAAATTAATATTGTCAGCTGTAATTTTATAGCAAAAATAACAGAATCAAATGAAAGTCCAATATTTTGATATTCCAATATTCATGACAATTGAGTTATCGTTTAATTGAAATAAAATCCAAACTCATCGTTTGATGACAAGTTGACAATAAGTGCATATGCTTGCTGGAAACCCTACTGATGTCGCATTGCAAAATTTGATTGAATTATTTGGAGTAGGAGTGTGTATTCCACTGGGTTGTAGGCACACATAGTGTAACAATGACGGAAAATGTGCTGAAGTAGGGATATGCACACTTGCACGGAAATATATGATACTCTGAAACATTGTATTTTTAAATGTACTCATATCTCGAAAAAGCATAACAATAACAGCGCTGAAATATTTGTGTCAGACAAGCAACATAAACAATTTGTATTCATCATGTTGGAGTAAGTGGAGGCTGTATCTGTAAATTTCCTGCACTTGTAAAATGTGCCAAAAGCCTGTACTACAAATATACACATTAAGTGCAAGCTAAATCGGATAAGGGGAAAACGGTAAGATGTTTCCGGAGAACTATGCCCATAGTTTTGAAAAGCATCATTTAAAGTCAATTGTATCTATACAAAGCTGAGTGCTTAATAAAAGGACCAATTTTACAAAAAAACAATAAACTTAATGAGCGTATAATTTTGAATGTTTACATGATCTACGATTATATGTTTGCTTACGCAAATGATACAAGTTCCCATTAAAATAGATTAACAGAACAGCATATAAACTTTTATAAAGTCTCTCTAAATGGTCGAAGCTATGGAAACAAGAGAGATTACGACTTCTTGTGTAGCACGATTTGATGATTGATTTTGGTAATTTTCATTATCTTTTCACTATATTGTATACTGATATTGACTGTAAGATTCTTCAGATATAGTGTTTGAAAGTTGTATATTTTTATATTGATTATACAAGCAAGAAAGTGTAACTTGTATGCGAAATTTTTATGTCGATAACAATATAGTGTCAGCAGTTCTTTGTATATTAAATTCAAAAAGCTTATAACTCAAAAGCACGATAACTCGAGAACCAAGCAATATGGTAGTAGAAAAAGTTGGTCAGAATAATGAAATTTACCAAAATTCCTATTGAGAACTAACTGCCCTAAAAATTATATCCGTCACTAGGATAGTCTAAATCGCAATGAAATAAAGTTCATTAGTAATATTACCACCTCCTTTATTAGATCAATATTTAATATACATTGCTAAACGACTGAAGAGGCTAAACGCTTTTAAGTGAGGTTTGGGCAGTTCTTAAACGTTTTTTCCTCCTTCTCTAAACTTCAATTACTATATACCATATACCATTTGGCAAAGCACTCACTCAGTTTTCATTTTTTTTTTTCAAGAAATCTCGTTTACGAGTATACTCTGTGGGAGGGGTCCCTAAATCCACAACTTTGCAGCAAATTGGTGAGAGGGTTTTGCAACATCTTATCTAGGTAGAGTTTCATGTATCCTGCCCCAGTTTTGCATAGAATACTTACAGCTTTAGACTCTTAAGTATCATTTGTTTCATCAGATCTTCGAATTGTTTGTGTTAACTAGATTTTAATAACTCTTTTGAATAGTTATTGGAACAGCATTTCAAAACAGCACATTACAACGAAGTGATAACACATTATGACATATGTATTATAATGTAGGCTTTTTGGATACCAAAATTTAACTTTCTACCTATCATAGTTTTTAAGGTATCTAGGGATACCACTAATCTTATGTCACTGATTCCGAAAATATCGAATTTTGAATGGCAAATTTTTGTTTTGTCACACTGTGCGCTGTGGTCCCGAAAGAAGAATTACAAGGTTGCAATCGGGAGTTGTTGAACATTTTTTTTTTGCAGTAGGTTTAAAGCATCAAAAGCCATAGCATGAGACTTTAAGCCATTAAAACGACCTCTTAGGAATGAATGTAGAAGATTTCCAGCGTAATGCGAAAACTTCATACCAATTTTTAATGAGGAGTGATGTGGGCAATAGGTTTAATGCTTAGAAGTCTAGGTTTATCTAAATCAGAAAGTATGAGCTTGGAACAGGAGGACGGGGAGTATGTCTAGGGGGTGGAAGTTAATAAACGTGAGATATATATTTTTTTACTATTTCGTGTTTCAGTCTGGTAAAAATTAAAGTTAATTTTTTTGGTTTTCGGTTTAATTATGGTCTAAAGCCTTGCTGCTTATGGAGATTATTTTGAAAAGATATATGTATATATAATCACTATTACTTTTTTTACATTATTCTGATTACTTTTATATCAAACGTTCTTTTATATCAATCTCATAGGTTTAATATATTGATATCTTAAACAATTTATCTTTAATATTCAAAAGACGACACTCATAAAAATTGAGCATGGCCTTAATCAATATTCAAATCGAAGGAAAACTATTTATTTTTCTAGATACAATTTTCTATTGAGTATACAAAAATGAATTTGCATAACATACTTTAAACTGTATTAAAAAAAAACAAATAAAAAAAAACAAAGTGTAAAAACGAAATGCCATCCATAAAGTCAACTTGACAAACTATACTCGTGTATCGGAATTAATTTAATTTTTAAAATTCACTGAATAAATAATAATCGTAAATTTTGTCTATTTGTTTATTTATCTGTAAATATGTGTTTGGTTGTTTTTTTAACTGACTATTTGTTGTTGTTGTTGTATGTCTTTCGCTTGGCTGGTTTCTGCGCATCCAAATACATTGTCAGGATAAGGACGATAACAATCGACATTACAATCACATAAATTCCCAATTCACATTCACACCGGAGGAAATCAAATACGATAACAAACACTACAAGTACCTCAAGTACACCGCCTACAAAAAGGTAAGAATGAGTGTAGTGAACCAGCCAATGTCGTTGGTGGTGCTCCAAGTAGTACAAGTATAAAGATACATAAGTGCAGATACATATATATATATAGATATATAGATATATAGATATTAGTATGCAATATATTTGTTTTTGTTTTTGTTTTTTCTGTTTGTGTGCATTTGTATTATTTGAAGAAGTGTGAAAACGGAAACGGAAGTGTGCATTGGGTGTAATACATAGTAAAGTGCGCTATCGTAAAGGATGTACTGTGCTGTACTGTGCTGTGCTGTGCTTCTGCTATGCATGAGCTGTTGCCTTAAATATTTAATTTGTGTAGTATTTCGCAGAAAAACAACGACGAAATGAAAGAAATCTTAACAATACAACGAAAATGTTAAAGCAACACTCGTAATAATACAAAATTGCTTTAGATTTACATAAACAAATTGCAAAACTAAATTAAACTTAATTTTACATATAAAATACAGTTGAAGTTTATTTTTTTAAATCAACAGGATAATCAATATCAAGAGGATAAACACAAAATTCGCGGTTACAATGAAGTAGTTGAAAAGCCACAGAAGTACATCAAGAACAATAACAACATCAATAGTGGTGCGTATTTTGTGGTTTACAAATTAAAATAATTTTCTTTCATTAATTCATGACTTACAGGATATCCATCGAAGTCACCTGAATGCAAACCACAACAATTGACCGCAATTGGAAATCGCCTATTGGATTGGTTTTCAGTAATTATGGCCGATAGCAAGAAACGTCGACAGCACAATCAAAAATCGAAAGCACACTTCCCACCCGCCTGCAAGACAGAAGCCAAATGGATGTTCGGACATTTGGATTTGAACAATGATGGCTTACTTTCACTGCAGGAAATGTACGATTTGGAACATGATCAAAATGAGCGTTGCATTAAACCATTCATCGATACTTGCGACTTGGATCAGGACAATTCAATAAATACACGCGAATGGTGCCGCTGCTTCGAGAAAACTGATCGTCCTTGCGCTGCTGTTAGACGAAGAATTGCCGGCGACTTTGCAGGTGAGATAGGTACAGGTGGAATTTTATTTCTTACAAAAGACTTACTTTCAATTAGTTTTTTTTCCTCCCAAATGAACTAAAATAAAAAATGTTTATGGAAAAGTGAAAGTATTAAGCACGCAAAGTAACTTATTCAAATATTCAAATATAAAACATAAAACACAAAACATAAAAGAGGAATTTAAGTTTTAATGAGCTTTTGCAAATTTTCCCCAACAGTTTTAAAACTTTTTCTACCTTACAGAATATTGTATGCTTGCTAAATATTTAAAATAAATTCACTACCGAAATGCTTTACACACAATTTTTTTCCACAATGAAATTTAATTTTTAATAATTCCTTTAATTTCTCTTAAAGCTTATTTAAATGCTTTTTGCTTTTATGAAGCAAAAATTTCATCCAGCCAAAGTTACTCATAAATTTGTTCATTCTTGTTTGATATTTTTGTGAATTAGGCGCATATGCACCTGACTGCGATATTCAAGGATTCTACAAGCCCACCCAATGCCACAATTCAGTCGGAGTTTGCTGGTGTGTGGATAAACACGGCGTTGAGTTTGCCAATACACGCACTAGAGGAAAGCCTAATTGCGGTAAGTGTGCACGCAAACTACAAATTAAGGAATATTCGAGTATTCAGTATCGATTCAATAACGTGCAAGTTAAATTATTTAATAATAAATAGATTTATCAAATCTCAGTGATAGCAGATAATTATTTATTCAAGTAATTTAGTTGAATACGAGGGATAACTGTAGGCGAATTGTTTTCAATACTTGCCTGCAAATTCAATACTTGAATAATAACTCTCGAACAAGACATTAACATTAACATCAACATTAACATTAACATGATCAATTAATAATTATAATTCAATAAAATACATTACAATAAAATCTCTTCAGTGATTGAGAATACCCAAGAGATCAGCACATTACAATACTCGCCTGACATTGTCTTTAAATGCCACGTTGACAGGTTATTTGGATATAAAATTAAATGAAAATGAAAATAATATTTATTTTAATTTAAAATTGACTTTTATAATAAACTAAAGGATTTGCTTAGATTCTAAATCAAATCTAAATTAAATCTAAATCAAGTTATTGAATAGCCTTTATCCACACATAGTATTTGAAGCTAAATATTAAAGATATATTGAACTAATATATCTTATATTATTTAATTTAAGAATCAAAAAAAAATATATATAATTAATTAATTCAATTTTTCCATAGCTAGTTTCTGATTTCGTTTTAATATAACACAGCAAATGAATGAACTATATATATTATATTATCTAATTTAAGAATCAAAAAAAAATATATATAATTAATTAATTCAATTTTTCTATAGCTATTTTATGATTTCGTTTTAATATAACACAGCAAATGAATTTGTTAATGAACTTTCACAGCAAATTAACAAAACCCAAATTCGAACATACAAGTTAAGTACGGCTTTAAGTCAGTTGGCTAATGAACATTGATTCTGAGCTTTAAAACTGGCAAGGCACAAGTTCTTCAACCCTTGATACTTGAAGTGTCAAAAAATTAATTAGGAATAAATAAATATAAATATAATTCTAAAACCACTGATAATAGATATTTTCCAATACTCGAAATAGCCAAAAATTCAATTAATTATTAAATAATAAAATTTTATTGAATAATTTAGTACTTTCATCAAAACAAACGATAAAAATCAATTTTTATTAAAGTAACTAAACAATCCAAATTTTAGCACATGTTAGGATATAACATTATATTTTATAGAACAATAATACAAGAGAAGAAATTTGTATCCAAATAAGCATGCTCACATCTTAATAATATTCTTCCAGACAGAACTACACTTTATACCCAACGCTCGATTGAACTACAGAATACATAGTTTTTCACTGGATATTTTATAGAACAATAATACAAGAGAAGAGAAGAAATTTGTATCCAATTAAGCATGCTTACATCTTCATAATCTTCTTCCAGACAGAACTACACTTTATACCCAACGCTCGATTGAACTACAGAGTACATAGTTTAAACGTAATAAACTACCGTAAACTACCGTCACTTTTACATACGAATCATAGGAATTCATAGAATTAATAGAATTCATAGGAACTGCGCTGTTACCCATTGAAGCTATACGTTTGAATATAGTTTCCTCTTTGGGAGGGAGCGAGTCCAATCTAACACCTCTGCTGTTCTTTGCGTCACGACACTTGGTTAAAAAGTAAGACCACATTTACCACAACACTTCTATTAAGAAATCAATCTCTATTCGTCAGGACAAGCGAAGCTGTGGGTCTTGACCTTAGTAGTAATATAGTAAATGGATTTAAACCAGAATTTTATTGTATTTTTATTCATTGTAGTAAGATAACTAATTCTATGTTAAGATTAAGGTAGTGATTCACCAGCGCTAACATTATCTTTTGTAAAAAATCTTAAACAAGCTACTTATTTCACCAAAGACATAAACCCTAATTCTTTTAAATGTTAAATGCATTTTAATACTTTGAATAAACTTCAACATTTTATGTCTATGCATAAGAAATGTTCCATTTACATTTAATAAATCTAACATGTTAAATCTAAGCAAGAAACTAGTTACTTCTGCATATAATAGTTATTATGTTAGTATGAAACTTGTGTTATAATTTAATACATTTTCAACTCAACAAAATCCTTCTAGTTTATAATTGTTTATATATTTAGACGAGTAATGTTAATTGTTTTAATTGTATGGCGTTCAAACCTCTTATTGAAGTGCCGTCACCCTCATGGACCCATACACACCTTGGTGATTATAAATCCATACCTTCAGTACATCGTCCGAACATAAGTGTTGTTTGGTCACTGGAACTATTAGAATACAGTAATAAATATAAATAAATAAAGGATGGCATATCTACCCCAAATTGTACAATAACCTCAAAATAATTTAAGATAATCAGACTTGCGAGTAATAAGTAATTTATAGACATCACACAGATTATCATAAATAAATCCTTTTAAATAGTTTTAAAATATTTTCTAAAAACATAGTTTCGTACTCTGTGTACATTTACTATATATGTAGGTATATATATATATACCTTTTTAATATATAGGATTGAATAACCAATAATATAGGAGTAAGAATTAATTTGTGAATGTCAATTATGTTTGACAATCTTTTTAAATAGTTTTAAAGTAATGCAAAAAATAAAAATAAAATGTTAAATTATATGTATTATATTTATAGTGCAATGCATAGATTGGTTCTTAATAACCACTTATAAAGCAATAAGAGTCAATTTGTGATTGAGTGTTACTTATTTTAAATAAACTTTATAAGCAGTTTAGAAATAATTCGAAAAACATAGAATATTCTTTAAATTTTTATGATTTAATGACCTCATAAATGGAAATAAGAATCAATTTGTGAGTGAGTGTCAGTTATTTCTGATAATCTTCTTAAGTAGTTTTGAAGTAATTTAGAAAATATGAAATATTTTTCGTAATTTATTTTAATGATAATATTCCAATTTGCTTAAAAATAATTTTACACTTTTGCAAAAGTTTTGCATTCATAAAGTTTTTGCATGAAATTAAATATTTTAGGTTTACGGCTTTAATTGCCAAACTTTCTGAAAATAGTTACAACCTCTTTACTATAAGTGTTTTGGTATTTTTATCCTTTCAGAATCGGTAGTAAACAACGCATCATCACTTACATCCGACGATGAGGATGAGGAAACCGACGACGAAGATAGTGCGGAGGGCAGTGCTGATCAAATGCTTGTATTTTAAATGAAACTCAACGAATATTTTGATTTTTAAATAAAAATATATTAAAGAAATATCTACAAACAAGCAAACTAAACGCATTTTAGTAAAATCACTTATGAAACAGAGAAGGATTATTATTTTGGTTTAATCCAAAACCAAATGCAGTAAGAGTATATAAAATGCATATAACCTTTAATATAACAATTATCTGCAAACAAAGTGCAGTAATGCTTAAAACTGAAAGAAATTTTTGAATTTTTGAATTTTTGGAACTGCAAATAAATTAAATACAAATAAAATAAAATATAAATTTCACAGAAGACAGCAATTAAACGGATAAATATTTAAGTAAATAATTGAAAGTTTTGATGCTTTTAATTTCCATAACAAATACCAAAATTATTATTAAATAAAAATTATGTGTAAGTTGTCAAATCATTAAAATTGCTATTAAGAAAATAACTAAAATAATTGTAGAGTAATTTGTAATTAAATAAAAAGAAATCATTTAAGACATTTGATATACAAAAACCAAAGTAAAACAAAATTCATTGTTAAAAGAGCGTCAAATTTTATAAATGCAAAGCTTATTTAAACTTAAGTAAATTAAGAAAAATTAAGAGATTTAATTTTAAAATTAAAATTGCACTCATTTTTGCTAAAAGTCCCACAAGAAAGCAATTTAAATAATTATTAAAGTCAAATTTTTGGTTGATTTTGAATCCGTCTTTAGCTTTTAAAGTAGTAAAATTAATGTTGAATTAAGCTTAAGTTAAAAATTCATCTAAAACATAAATAAATGAAAATATATTGTATATTTGAATGTTTTGTTGGAACACGCTAAAAATCCGCCCAATACATTTTGTGATAGGTTTTGAAAGTAATTCAAGCTAAATCAAATCTAATAACAATTTTTAATTATTAAATTAAAATGAAGTTAAATCACTTTTTGTTGTTATTTGTTTGTGCAGTCAAAATGCAAGGCTTTATTGAGTTATATATTGAGTTTAAATTTATTTATAATATAAACACGCTAATAATATTTATAACAATTTAATATATATTATTATTATCAAGCATAATAAACAAAAGAAAAAACCTGTAACTGCTACCTTCAAAGAGAAAAGTGTTGCCAACTGTAGTTTATTATAGTTAATGATAAAATGTATAAGGCTTTAAGGCTTCATAGAATGACTGCAAGCGCTATAGAACAATAGAGGAAGTGAGAAATAGTTTGATAAGAGCAAATTATTAATTATAATAAAAAAAATAAATAATAAATGTTTAAAAAAATAACACATATATATGCTTCTTTTAAAGATATCACTTTTTTAAGACATAATTTATGATTTTTTCACATATTACTACAGCTACTAGATGTGACAACTTTAAATTTAGTTCTGCTAAATGAATAGTTAAGTGAACGTTGTAATGTGTCGTAAATTTAAAAATGTTTTCAATGGTTTTTATTGTGTTAATTTAAGGTAAACACAAACAACATTTTAACATAAATATTTAGATAATTTTAATATAAAAAATTTGTTTACATTTTTCAAGTATCATACATACTTTCAACATATTTTAAAAGAGTACTTAATATATAATTAATTATTAATGTTTTATGTATGTACTAATGTATAAAATAAAGTAATACTGAAACTTCACAGTAGCTCTGAAATTTTCAATTATATTGAATATTTGTTGTATTTAATGTTGTTTAACTTTTAATGTAAAAATGAACTTTCTTAAGATTTTTATCAATTTTTCTCAGTGCTCAGATATTTACATAGGCGTAGCCAGCTGAGTCCATAACGAAATTTCATTACTTGACTAAATTACTATTTTATTATAAAAATGTTACAGATTTATGTAAATTAAATAAAACGAACTCTTAAAATTAAACAACAATAAAGAAATTTCGATAGAGTTCTTTCCTGTTCAGGTTCTTGACTACGTTTATGAATGAAGTTAGTGTTTCCATACATACAATACCTAAGAAATACAATGAGTATATGAGTATATATTTCCATTAATGTTTTGGAAATATTTTATACAGAGATTCACTTTCTAATAATTATGAATATCTGAAATAATGAATTCTAAAATGAATTGCTTTAAGACAAAATGGCTTGAAGAATTAATTTGTGAAATGAAAGGTAGAGATATTTAAAATTATTAAATGTATTGTTTGAAAAGATATCATTATCTTAAAAAAGATATCATTATTATTTTAAAAGATATCAATTTTCATATATATACATATACTATGAGTATATATACGTCTTCAATATATATGTATATAACATATATGCACTCAATAAATATTGGAGTTAGCATTTTTCTAGAATTTCCACATAAAACAATATTTGGTTTACTACGAAGAAGTTTAAATTATTTACAGTTAAAGTCTTGCCGATGATTTTAAATAATTAGTATTAAAATATTCTATAAAGTAAACCATCATTCACACACTTATATCTTTTATTTCAAAAGCAAGTCACTTAAAAACTAATGCAAATCACAATTAAAAAGTATACTTAGAAGTTGTCTAATGCAATAAACCGTTGATTTTAATTAGGAATATCCTTAGAAGTACACCTTACATAACACACTGTTGATTTATATAATAAATTTAAGAAATAGATTGAGAAGTTATTAACAAATTTGTGTGCTTAATATATATAAAATTTAATAATAAATTTATTATAAACTATAAGTCGTGTTAATATATAAGTGAAATTAAAACACACATATATGTATAAACATATATATAAATGTAAAATCACTTAATATTTAAGAAGCATTTTTAGCCATAATTAAATGATTATTGCAATAAAAACAGAATTTATAAAATTAATATATAGTAAATTTGTGTACCAATATATTTATATTTTATTTTATTATTTAATTATTTCAAAGCACATAAATTACTCTTAACTAAAATTTCAGTATACATATATAAAATTTGCTTAATTTTATATATATAAAAAACTTAATTAAAAGCGTATATATAAAATAAATAAAAACGAAAGGAAAAAATCATTATTTGTAGTATAAATTATACAAATATTATCAATTGGCTAGTATATAGTTGCAGAAATGAAAACAAATAAAATGAAAATAATGCAAATTTTAATTTATAAGAAAATATTGAATTATTTATTTAAACTTAAAATCATTTATTATATTTATACAAGAAACCATCATTAGGCAATTTTGTAATGAATCATGTAGTACACAAGAACAAGCTCTGCTTCAAATAAATAAATAAATCCTTGTAATCAAAAATCAAAATGAATATCAATTACCAAATTAATCTTATTATATATCTATTAGTTATATAAATTTGTTTAAGTCATTTAACACACCGTCTCACATTAATTTTGAAATATCTACAAAATTTTTACTATCATACATATATAATATAAGTTAAGTACATACATATATACATATACTCGTACCTACATCTATACACATGTATTGCTTTCTATATACAAAGTGCAAGGATTGAAGTGAAATATATTGCAAATTGTAACTTTTTGAACAAACATCATTAAATAAAATAATGTAGGTAACATATTTATAAAAGACAAAATAAAGTGGAAAATTAATTCTTTACACACCACAAACATTCCGTAATAATGTAATCCTAAATATTTATATTTGTATTTGCATATGTATAAGTTGATTTTATGATGTGTTTATTAATGGAAAACTTAATATAATAAAAATCATTTAATGCTAAAAAGTTATGTTTTCTTTTTTTTGTGTGAGTAAGGAGATGAAATGCTTTAGGCAGCGTTAAACCGACCGTCGCCCGATTTACCCGATTCCAACTGTAGAGTATACTCATTAAAACAGCCTCTCTTCTTTATCGAGATTACTCCCCCAGGACCGCTCTCAAGTAACTTTAAGAAGAATCCCTTATGCGTTAGCTTTCCACACCGTATACTCCTTGTAGAACCAACGGTCCCTGGAAAATCTCGAGATTTCTTTCCGTTTTAGCTTAGTTTGCGTCTTAGTCTTTCTTCTTTATCTCGAGTACGTTTCTGATAAATTGTGTGATTTTATTTCAATTTGCTGCTCGATTTTTCATTTTCTCATTGATACTCACGACATTGAAATGACCTATATAATTTTCTAGTAACGTTCTTTCACTATGCCATCAATCGCAGTTGAAAAAAATGTGCTCAGCATTGTTCCCGTTTGTTCCGCAATATATACAGTTTCGATTGCTCTACTTTTTTCATTCTGTATAGATATTCTTGACAATATCCATGACTAGATAGTTGTCAATCTTGCCGTAGTTCATTTATGTCTACGATTTTACATTTGAGATTACCTATACTGTCCATCTTCCTCCTAAATCGAAGTTCCATCATTGTTGCCAAATCTGAAAAATTTGTTCTCTTATGTATAGAAAATTTGTTAAGTTGTTATTCCCAGCGTTTTCTCCGTTCACAGACCTATAGGTCAATAGGGCTGATTCCGTTGTTCGCTAGAACTTTTGCCGCTGATATAGTTTGATACTCTCCTCGAAGTGCAGCAGTCCATTGCACTTAAAATTTTTACCCAAAATTGGCATTCGTAAGGTAGTATTTGGTTTGTGCTCGCCATAAGTAATATTTGCACCATAACTACTACAGCGATATCATCTGCGAAACTTACAAGGTATATGTCATCAGGCATCTTAGTTTTTAGGATTACATCGTATAACATGTTCCACAAATCGGCGCCCAGAATAGCCCGTAGTGCTATGCCTAAAGAGATACGTTTTTGTCTGTGTTATTCTTACTTATGCACAACCCTGATATATAATGGAAAACCATATTAGTGCGTCCAAATAGAAACGTGATTGGGGAGAAAATTATAAAACTAGTATCTGTTGACCGCGAGGTCCAAATAATATCGATAATAGTATTATATCAATATATACCACAATATATCAATATATCTTTCACTGCGGGGTAGAGATTATAGAATATTCGCGGGGTAAGACATGACTGTGAACGAAAACTTAGACGTCACCTGATGCTGTTCGGAGTATAAATGGTAGTGAGTGGGTTTCACTTGCGGCACCCGACTGAAGATGTAAATCAGGTACAACAACTGTCAGAGCCCATAGCTTCAATTGTCCTGACAAATCCATGTTCACCTCTTTAATGGTCGTATCGTGATGACTGCACTCATTACTTTCATTCTATGTGAAGTTGCATTTTACAAGTGGATGCTATGCTCTAAAGAACAGCAGAGGTATTAAATAGAATTCGCTACTTACCTAATGAGGGAACTATAACCAAATATGTAACTTCAATTGGTACCGTTAAAACTCCTTATATCGGTACGTGTGTTAGGAAAGCCGTGGAAGGTAATCACGTTGAAAATATATAGACTCTTATTTTCAATTTACTTGAT